TCAAACAATTAATGGTATATGACCATTAGCTGTTTCTTTTTTAACTTAATATATCCTCTTTAAATTTAAGGCAGTGTGAATTAACACTGCAAAAAAGCAAGACATCTTCATCGTTCTTCTTAATCAAATATAATACTTAGTTTTAATACTCTTGCTTCCAAAAGTAAAGCATGCAATGCAAATCAGCAATTTTCGAAAGCATAGCTGAATATTTAAGTGGCTGAAAAAAATCTGCACATGCAGATAGCGGTATACAAAAATTGTGTGGTGCAGCTTATCCCAATTGACTGTCCAAGCGTATGTTAATTAGGTAGTTGTTGAAGGCACTAGCTTTCTAAAGTGTTTGAGGAATTCATTTAAATGCTGAAACGAAAGGTTATAATTTTCATAGGATATTTTTTTATGCATTCCCATTTCTGTGTCTAAGAGGAGAATGATATATAGTGTTTATTGGCATGCTCTCGGACGCATTGAAGCAGGACAGTCAACGAAAGAAATCGCTCTTTTCTTTGGCTTTTGTTAATCAGCAATTTCGCGAATGGCGAAATAATTTCAAGCAAGTCAAATAGTTCCTTGGAGTCCTGTGCCCAGTCGACCAAGGGTTATAGCTATAGCAGTGAAGCGGAATCGTCAAGTGACCTCCGCAAGTGTTGCATTTATTACTGCAGCGTCACTTGGCAAGAAAATATGTGCCAACATTGTGTGCCGAAGTCTTCCCACGAAGGAAATGTAAGTCGGATTACCAAGTGTTTGCATTTCACTTATCGGCCAATCCGGGAGCAAGGTAAAATTAATGTAGTGTCGTCTGTATTTCAGTTGGATTGTCTCAATTTGAAGCAACAAACTGTATACAGATGAGTCCACATTTGCCGTGGGATCAGATGATAAGCGTGTAAGCGTTTCGAGAGAACGAGACGCATAGAATCGAGCTTAGAACATCATCGAACATCACACTTTCAGAGGTGGCACCATCATCATATAGGCTGGAATGGTCTTCATTTCCTCTTGATGGAGGATGATGTCTGTTCACATCGAGGCATCATCATTAACGAGTACCTATAAAGCAAAGAGGTTAGAATAGAAGGAGGTAAATTTCGCAGTTTTCTCCACTATTCGAAAATGAAAACTGCCTGACAAGCGGCGGCCATATTAATGAAATCAAAACATTGCTCAACTGCACCGAAATGTACCTACATGTTTCTGGGATGTTCCATGCATGTATTTTAAAGTAAAAGTATTAATGCATTCCGCTCTATTTAAATGAAATTCCACTCTTTTGTGAAGTTTTTGTTCCAAAGTAATAAATATAATATCTATATTTATTATAAACACAAAACAATTAAGAAATAGTGTGAAATCTAAATGCATGAGTATAGCTGTTACTTTCCAATTCTTCCTTTAAAAAATACGTAGCTTTGATTTATTCATAATATTGTTGTAATTTAATAAAGAATCATTCCATAAGAAAATGTTTAGGAATATTAAAGTCATTTTGTCTCAGTACACTTTATAGTTCAGCTTCAAGCTGTAATATATTAAAACGGAAATTTACATATTTTTTAATATTCATATAATTTCATGCAAGCAACATATCACCTGTATTACTATATTTAATACTTCAGTACAATATACAGTTCATAAAAGTATTTAAAATCATGCTATTATTAATGCTTTTACTATTCATAAAAGGAGTAAAATCAGTTCCTTACTTTTCATGAAAATTATCCACAAATTTCTTAAACTGTTCACATAGCATAGTTTTAATTATAGCATATATTACTGCATGTTAAAACAGCGATATAAATTATAAATAGAAACAAAAAAGTGTTTTTATTAAAAATCCAAAAAGTAATCAAATCACTTTTTTTGATTTGATTACTATGTCGCACCTTATTTCTCACTTGGAATAGAAAATACGTGACAGGGGAGACACTTTTAAACATGTTTACTTAATACATGAAAAGTAATCCTAGGATCTTTTTAGGCGTTCTATTCGTGCGCCCACACGCAACATAATATCCCATATTAAAAAAATCTGATGTGTACACCACATGACTTCCTTGTATTGGAATATTAAATTGGAATATTGAATTATACGCATTTTTTCTTGCATTTCATTTAAACTTATTGGATTGAATTAAATCTACTTCGCCGACAGCGCATAAACCACAATAGAATAAATGCATTCTTTAAAATTCATTCTAGTATTTGTTTACCATAGCGACACTCTGGCGCTAGATTCACTTAACAGTATTAATAATTATATAACAATTAACTTATATAATAATTATATAACGGAAACTAAATTAACTGTTATATAATCCAATAATTATATAACAGTTAACGTATATATTTGTTTCATATTATAACTCATAATGCACAAAATTTATATCATTTAAAGAATAGAATTATCTAATCGTTGCCACATGTTCTATTCAAATACTATAATAAAGCTAGAATGATGTGTAAAAGAAATTAAGCAAACAAAACAAAAAGTAAAAACATTTTCAACAGACGTTGAGTTTTTCCAGACGATTGAGTATTTGTCATTTAATTAATTCAGTTCTCAGTTCGCGAGAAGGCAAAAATACATAAAACTCAAAATATTACATTAAAAATTACGAAGTAAATCTCAAACACTTATTTCCTCGAAAAAATTCCAGAAAGAATTAAGCATGATTTAATTGGCAATAATAAATGAATGCGTTATCTTGTTGTTGTTGCGAAGCTAAGTTTCTCTAGATTGGCAACAAATCCACTAGTCTCCTGTTTCAAATGTAAACATCAAAGGCCGCCATTAAAAACAGGCTTAGCGGCATTAAAGAACTTTTAAAATTGCTGATAATTCTAAAAATATTGCACACAGATTTACTAAAGGCATAAAATCCTTAACCGGAAGATAAAAACAACATAATTCAATCATTTTTAAAGCAAAAAATGTACAATTTACAAACATATAAGAATAAAGAAACTGAGATCACTGAGCCGGGTAACAGAATGGATATATATATAAATATATTTATATACGTTTGGTGCGGCCGATTGCAACCAAAATACGAGGTGCACATCTACATGTTATAGCAGTCCTATATACAAAATTTCAACGTTCTGAGGCTACTCGTTTTTGAGTTATGCGAGATAAGTACGTACGTTCGCACGTACGTACATACGTTCGTACAGACGCCACGAAAAATTCTCTTCAGAATTAATTTTTTTAGAATTTAAGCAGTTTTATAATTTTTTTGAAGGAAAAGAGTATTTTATTCTGTCCTTACGTACAGATATCACGCAAAAACATCGTTAAATTGCATTCGATAGCTGTCAAAATGGATATTTTCGTTGAAATATGCTGCCTGAAACTTTTCGCGATTACAATACTTCCTTTTTACTTCGTACAAGGAAGTAAAAATAGGCTTACTATGATGAGTCATACATATGGGAGGAATATGGCCGATGAGGATTCGCTTTATAGTTGAATCCTCCCTCAAAATCATGGAGATATGAATAAATATTTAGTCTTATCTCCATGACTTTTATTCTTATCCTTCATTTCTACATTATTTCCTACCTCCATGCTCCAAACCCTTGGGATGCCCTCGGGCATGATGTCTTTGCATGTTTACCTCCTCCAGCCCAGGACTTAAAAGGACCCAGGACATAACCCTGCTCCAGCCAGTCTCAGACATGTGGAAACAACCCTAATTCAGGAATGGTTACTGCTAGTATCTGTGATGGATGATCACCTCATTGAAAGCATCGGCAATCGCTGAGAGTTTGTGTTAAGATTCGGCATAGTCACGTACCTTTCAAATGTGTGTTTTATTTATTTGTTTTTAATCCTTAAAAAGCAATTTTAGCTTTAAGCATCAAATTGTAGCTTTAATTATCAACTCAACCTCTCGTGATTCCCACTCACTTTTTTGTCTTGCACCTTGATATTTGAAGACACCATGACGGGCAGCACCTATTTTATCAGCTATCTTGCTTTAAAACTAATTTTAAAAAGTGTATTAAAACAGTTCTGCTAGGCTTTAATTGGGGAAAATAGACATATCGTCAACTTAATCGGGAATTATGCTACTGTTTGCATTTGAAAAATTATCTGTATAAAGGGTGAATAAAAGTTGCCAAGATGAGACTTTAGAAATCGTACACCTCTTAGTTATAGCCGAAAACATGGCGGAGAAAAGAACGAAAGGGGAAATGATAAATGAATAAACTGATGAATAAAATTCTATGAATTTTGTGAACGATCAGTTAGGTCTTTGTGAACGATGTAGGTCTTTCTTTTGCTCCTGAAGAAAAGGGACCTATGTCTGACGCCGTCAAAATCCACACAGCTTTATTCAAAATCTGGGCCAAAATAATGTTGCTGTTTTGCGTAAGTCTCATTTTGCATAGGAGAGTCTTTCTTCCAATATGACAGCGGAAAGGTTAAGGAAGGCAAATGATCGGAATAATAATGATTCGTAACAGAAATAATAATAAATTTTGAGGCTATTTCTATTTTTCTTTTTAAAGACCAAGTTTTAACTGATTTATAATAATGACATGATGAAATGTTTCATTCAGTCTATCTTCTTATTTGCCATATTTCTGATTTGTAGGGGAAAAAATTAGTTGCCAGTCATGTAGTCTTTGTATATCAATGATCAAGCATTTAAAGGGCAAAATGAATACATGTCCCTCTTCATTTAATAATAAAAAAAAAATCAATGTATAGAAATATCTACTTAATTAGTTTTATATTTCGACTGAACAAAATGTGTCTCCAAATTCTTGCACTAAAATGCTCCATTTACTAGATAGAATTTGCGAAAGGAGACTTTAGAAAAAATTTTGTGCATTTTATCTTTGCATAACTGGATTCTTAATTTTTTGATTTGGTATTGTCGACGGAAAATGTTACGCTTGTAAATACACATAAAAGACCTATAAACAAATTATGTTACTTATTTAAAAAATTCTTCAGTTGAAACAAACGTTTAAGGTTTATTTACCTTCTTAACATCTTCTTGAATGAATATTGGTATTTTGAATGCCGACCTAAAATTATGGTCCCATTGCAAATAAAACCAGAAAATACACCATACAACTCCAGATGCTCCTGAAAAATTATCAAAACAAATAAGTAAATGTTTGTGTAAGAATAATCTAAAATATAAGCTGCACTGGAATTTGAAAAAGTTAAAATTCATCTTGAAACAAATTTTAAACATTGTTTCATTGATCTTATACGTCCAATAGCTGTACAGGAAGTGCAGAGTTCAGTATTTATTAAAAATAAGAGATGCATTTTCTTCACCAAATGCGAAGTTAAAATTTAGAAGATAAAGCTAAATTGAATAAAAAAAAATTGTTTCTTTTTAGTCCGTGCAGCTGAATGGTATTTCTTTTACACTGTAGAGACATTAGGTTATTTCGATGCTGGAGAAGTGAAAAATGAGCAATCCCCTCGCCAGAACTCGAACCACGGACCTCTCGAATACGTGCCGAGTGTGTTGATCACTACACCGCGAAGGCATGCTAAGAAGGTGGGAGAAATACCTTATATACTTCCCCTTTTAAAGGGCGACTGGAGATTAGGGGACCCAATCGCCAAATCCTGGTGGTGAAGCATCATCATTCACCACCGTTTTTAGTTCGGACCCCACTGTAGAGACATTAGGCTATTTCGATGCTGGAGAAGTGAAAAATCAGCAATGCCCTCGCCGGGACTCAAACCATGGACCTCTCGAATACGCGCGAGTGTGCTGAGGCATTCTGCACCACGAGGCATTCTAAGAAGGTGGGGGAAATACCTTATAACATAAGAAAAATCCTTAGATAAAGACTAAAGTCTGAAATGTTAATTTTAAGAATTGTTGAAAGTAAGAATGAAATATGTCTCCTCACAAATAGCACAAAACTGTCATCAGGTAGAAAGAATAGGAATATGCCAGTAACGCATAAAACATAAAATTTAAAACTTTATTCAGAAGGAACTAAAGAGTAAAACTAAATAAGCTAAATAAAGTTGAACAAATTCAATCAATGATCAAGATAACAATGCCTAAATTACGCTTGGGATTTTAATGATTTTTCAGGTTATGTTCAACGATATCACGTGAGTAAGTATAGGTTTAAAAAGAGTACATTGGTTGAAAATGAAATGATCTAATATAAAATTAGTCTTCAGTAATAAAACAGCCGAATCTTATTGCCAAAGAGGTTTTAAATTAATTCACTTCATTTTCAATTCAAATGCAATCAGAAAGTCTAAACAGATCTGAAAATTCTATAAATGAGAAATAATTTCCGTCATAGCAACGCTCCATCACACATTTTATGAACTAATTTGGCTCCAATGATTTCTTAATTCGAGATTTTGATTCATTTGCTACCACAATCTAGGATCAACTTTTACCAGAAAATGAAGCAACGCTTGAATAAAGATTATTTGTCTTGCATGATAATGTATCATTTGTCATGCTGGGAAACCATGCAATGGAAAGGAACAGAATTATCCTATGTGAGGACTCTATCAAAAGTGGGTAAACGATTTGTAGACAGACCTTTTTTGATAAGAAGCTCAATTCCAGAAATTTGCTCAGGCATGTAATCCGCTTCATAGGTAGGGCCAATACCGAATTTTCTCATACTTTCATCCTCGCTGCATATTTTTCCTTTTAACTCTAACACAATACTACAAACTTTTTCTTAAGAAACCACGTAATTTTCTCTTTCCTCAAAGCGATCTTCCGCAAATTTTAAAATGGATTCGTTCACTTAATGGTTGTTTTCTCTTCATACAAATTAATTTGCTCATAGATTTTGGGTGCATGCGCTCTAACTGATAATCATAACAGTAAAGAACTTGAGCTTTAAGGAAACGAGGATATCTAATGCTCTTCATGATTCTGAAAGTTATTGTTCGTGGTAAGACAGACGTTGAAGACGATGAAAATGATGACGATGGAGACGACTTGCAGATTGTAGAAGACAGTACAGCCAGCAGTTCCAGCAGCACTGAATGTTTGAAGCCTAGGGAGTAGCTGTGGACAACAATTAAAAGCAGGCGGGATTCAGGATATAGGGAAAACGTTAATATGTGTTCTTATTGGAAAGCAGGTTTGTCTTAAACAAATTAATGTAATAGCTATCAGTAGTTTATATAGGTATACTTTCCACTTTGCTATATTCTTAGAATAATTGAATCAACCCAAAATTAAATTATACGCATAATTTTCCTCTCTCGATTTTCTTACGATAAAATTAGTAAAAAAGGGGAAAGGCATGGAAATAAATACGGTAAATACGGTATTGTCACATCAGCATGTAATGTGTTTCATTTCAGGTACGTAATTTGCTTCATAGATATTTAATAACAAATCGCATTACGTGGCAATAAAATTCTACGTTTATCATAATCCCCAATCTTCAATTTTTTTTTTTTTTTTTTGAAAATCCTTACAAAATAAATAAATTAGACTGTTTGTCCTCTGTTAAGATGCTTAAATGCCTTTAAAACTGGGTTATTTCTTTTTCTAACTCTAATATAAGCTAATAACTATAACTGTATAATAAATATTTTCTCTTCAAAAATAATTTATTTCACTGCTTCACGCTTATATGAGCTATCCCAAGCTTAGATAAAACATAAACTAAAATTTTAATGTAGAAAGTTTAGTATAGAGTAATGGAAATAAAATATAGAAATATCAGATTGGGAGTAGTAAAGAAGTTCTTTTTCTTTGGAAACTGGCACTTTTTCATCTAGTACCTTTTTACGACAGATGCTCCGAATTTAATGTGCACAAAAAATTCATTTATGAACATGTGGCTGAAGCATAACTAAACTAGGTAAGAAAATAATGATGTATAAAAAAAAGATAAAATACATTTTAAAATATTCTTATTATACTGTTTTGCGATTAATATGGTTTTATTTTGAAAGAAAAGGATTTAGAAATGAAACTGGGACAAAAAATTTATCATGTGACCTGATGAATTTTATAGTTTAAATATAAACAATGTTGTATGTATCACATATAAGTTTAACATCTGAATTATAAGGATTCAGATTTCTGTTATGTGTATACAAATGTTCTGTAGCGCCTTTCCGCGGCAATAAGTAAAATTTGTCAAATATCAATCAAGTAATGAATTACGTTTATAGCGTTGTGTAAATCAATTTGCAAATAAATATCCGAACAACCCAATTGATAACTGGCGGAAATCGTGTATAAATTGTGTTTATTGCCTTGTCGTGTCGACAAGGCAATTAAAAACATACTAAATTTATCCAATGTAAAATTTGAATTTTATTCTACTATTACTATTTAATTAAACAATTAGAATATTTGACAGAAGCTCCCGGGAGAGATAAAATTACTATTGCACATATTCACAGATTAAACATAGACTATTTCTTTTAAAAAATATACTATAACTTATTCTTTTCATTCATAACATAATGCTTTCAGATCAACTGGACATGATAATATTAACAAGAAACCGTAAGTAACCCTTCCTTTGAGTATTTAACAAATTAGAAATATATATTTTAACACAATAATATAAAATCATATTGAATTGCACCTTAACATTTTAATGTGATGTTAAAGCTATTAAGAACTCTATTTATTATACCATTTGTCATACGAAAATTAACAGATTTATTATTATTATTATTAACCTACTTGAATTTTCAGTTAATCAAAGCAAATTTCTATTAAGAAGTATTGCACACAATTATCAATCTAACAATTAACGTCATTTTCTAACGAATAACATAACAACAAGAAGAATTATAACTAATTCGTTAAACCCAGAATTCTTCCACTAAACCACTTAACTGGGATTCACCTACATTTAACAAAGGAACTGCTGATTCAATATTTCTAACTTACTGCTGGTGAAATAAATTTTTAAGCTGAACCATTCTACTCACTAATCAGAATTTTACTTTTAGGGAGGAATTAATTTTACTTTACATTTTTCTACTAGCTTACGAAATAACCTAGTGTAATAATAATAATAATTGAAAAAAAACTCTTATTTATTCTGAAGACATGGACTGAATTCTGAAGACTATTTTCTGAAGACATGGACACGACGTTCCTACGTAAAAACGTAGACCGGATCCGATGACTGGAAATCATGGCCGCAGACAATCGAGATCAATGCAAGGACAAGAGGCAAATGTTCCCGCTGGCACAGGAATTCCTCAGCCTTCAGCTATATGTCCACACTCACTGGATGAGTTGAAGAAACGAAGAGAAGACAACCGGCTGCATCCATACTCTAGGAGCGAAGAAACTATTCGATTTGGAAGAAACCTTAAAACGGCAGAAGGATAGAAAGTTCACATGGTCGATGAAACTCGTCCGAGTTCAAATTTCGTTCTGTTTGAAGAGGGTGAATATACTCAGGCTTATCTGTAAAAGACGTAATTAAATTTAACATATTCCGCAAGTTCTGCACTTTGAAATCTGTTATGGTGATGATTTTAATCAAGTAAATTTAAGAAATCAGCTACTGCAGTTCGGAGAAATACATAATGGTCTCGTACCGCTGTTGAGCAAAAATACCCCTATGTGAAATACGCAACATAACGACGAAAATTGAGGTATGAGAAACAACTGAGCAAGACCGCGAAAAACGCGCTCTCCTGCTTTTTGTTTCGAAAGTACACCAAGTTCGTCTAAACTCACCCAAAATAGGGACAACCTCAACACAAAAACGCCTCGCATATAAGAGTAGAAAAAATCTTACTTTTTTTCAACCAGGCAGTTCAACTCATTTTACCCAGCGACGCCATACTTCGCCAACCAACGCACCTGCAGAAACAGTAACCATATAACCCACCGGATGTAGAACGCGACCGTGGTGTAACTCGTCCCTAAACAGCTTAAACGTGACAAGAAATGCAGAGTCTTCTCCCTTTTTGAAAGTCCAGCGAAATTACAAATTTTTTTTAATTAAATGAGCTTAAAACAAAAACTATTTCAGCTATCACAATGAAAGTACTTTTAAATTAAAGTGAAAATTTTTCTGCTTCTGACACTATAAGTTTAAAATATGTAGAATCCAATTATTTTTTATTCAAGAGTATAACGTGAAAATAACCCCATTCCCGTTGACTTTTGTCAAGCGCGTTCAGAGAAAATGAATGATACAACGTCGAATCTTAACTTACAAAAACCCCAATTAAAGGTAAACCAATTAACACACAGATTAATTAAAATACAAGTTGTATAGCTTAATTTGGAATACAAGTAAATTAATTTTTGATAAGGAATTAATTAATTAATTAATTAATTTTTCTACACAACACGACATAAGATACACTATATATGACCAAAAGTATCCAGATACTACTCCGGAGTAGTAATAACGAGATAAAAATACTGATCGTAGGATTAGAAAATCATACATATGCAACAGACAGATAAGGGGTAAGTAGAAGAGTGATTTTAATTATGGCATCAATCACTGAGTGCCGTCGTTTCAATAGATCACTTCATGAAACGTGAACCTTGCTACATTGTCTGTATGAACTGTAGGTAAAATCTTGCCTAATAAAATGCAAGTGTCTAGGATGTGAAATTACAGAAAAACGGCGTAGTAGACGGCATATGCCTAGTGATAACTGACGCCAAAATCAGAAGAAAAATCATATGTCCCTGATAGCAGCGAACACTCGATCTCATTTTCAAAATGCTTTTATCTCCGTTCTAACGTCAGGATTGGTCATCCACAACTGAATGACATAATGTCATAATAATAATACATAATGACATAATGTCATACTATAATCGAATGTTGTGGGATCGCTTACAAGCCTAACATCAGGGTTACCAGTCATCAGTTGAAATGGTGCAAACCTCACGGCCACTGGTTTATGATCTGTTAAGGAAACAAGTTCTTTGGTTCTAACAATAAGACAGACGCGTAAGAGCTCGGCCAAAGTGCTGAATAAACTGTCAAATATGATGTCAGAAACATTATGGTTCATCCAGATTTCCTGTGCTTTGGCCTGGATCTTTTAGCTGTTATGACCTGGGAAAAATATAAAAGAACTCTGAGATATATGTTGATATTCTTAACAGCTCTACTCGTGAAGTCCCTCGGTAACAGTCAAGGAGAAGTGGTTTCTATATCGTTAGAATATCATTAGGATATAGAAATAAAGTTACTCTATTCACTCAGCAAAGTTTATATTTCCGTGGTTCGATGATATAAGTCTTTACGAAGTATCCATATTAATCTCATCGAGCACTTCTAAAAAGAAATAGAATGTTGAATACATTCCCAGCCAAACTGTCAATTTCAGTGGTGGACTCACCGTAGCTCTCATGAAGAAATAAAAGGTGATTCCTGTGAGCACATATCAAAAGTTGGTGGTCTTCCCAGGGCAGTGCAAATAGTGACTAGTGAAAATGGTGGGCCACCATCCGATAAAAATGTGGCAAATGAGGCTCTGATTACAACTGTGGGTATCTGGGTATTTTTGGCAATATAGTTTGTCGGTTTTGTATATGAATTTAATCATCATACAAAATTGTTATCTTCATAACTCATAAAGCTTCAAACAAAATTTTAGCTATTAATGATTGGTATTAAGTAACCAGTATGTTAAATACGTATTTAATTTAATTAAACTTAATTATTAGTATTATATAAGTAGTATTGGTAAATACACAAAAAATACTGCATTAAGATATAAATATTACCGCTAATATAGAAAACATACTCCCAACCAAGGAAACCTGTGCTGCATATAATACCCGCCAGGCCGTAAGTAATGAAAGCACCTGTATGCATTCCTGTTGTCGTAAAAGCAGCATAACGGACTAACTGCTGTGAAGGTACCAAAGCACACATCATCATACTAAAAGCCGGGGACACGAGACTCTGAAAATTAATGATATTAGAAGATAAATTTGTCTTACGTTATCACAATTGTAACATTTTATGTACTATTTAGTTTCCTGATACCTAAATTAATGGAATGTCAAAGTATTATACACGAAAAAAGGGCACTCATGCAAAAGTAAATTTTATTATTCAAATGAAATAACAGTTACTAACCTGGCCAGTGGCTTTTAAGATTTGAAGATACACAAGATAATAAACATTCGTATTTGCAGCGAGTGGTGATAAAAAAGTACAGGCACTAGAGATCGTCATACCAACAAAGACGAGCCATAGAGGACTAAACCTCTCAGCCATCAACTCTGCTGGAATATACGCCACGATTAATCCATATAAAAAGCTCGCTAATATTTGGCTTTGTAAGTGAATATTCCAGGTAAACTGTCCATTCTATTGTAACAAGATAAAGAAAAGAAATTGTATAAATTAAGAATTTTTTCAAAATAAATTGCTAAATTTCTGCAGTAATAATAACAATAACAATAACAGTGATAATAACGATAATAATAATAGTGATATATACAAGTATGAAGCAAACTTGATACTTTATCCAAGAAAGGATGGAGTTAGTTCCGAGGAAGTTAAAAATAAAATTGTGAATTCGATTGATCCTATTCAATTACAAATTGGTGTGAAAAGATTAAGAAAGATCAATAAAGAAGGAATCTTAATAGAATGTTCTAAATCTTCGGATTTAGAAGCTTTGGAAACAGGTTTAATCAGATGAATTACTTAAATATGAATAGTGATACAACGTCCTGTTGAAAAAAATCCAAAAATTATTATCTATGAAGTAGATTCTGACCTATTTCGAGATGATCAGAGACCAAAATATCGTTTTTGAAGAAGGTAGCTTTGAATTAAAATTTTCGATGAAAGGTCTAAGTAAAGCACACCCAGTGTAGATGCAAAGAAATATAGGGCCTTAATGAAGGTTGGTAAACTTAGCATAAGGTGGTTCCGCCTTAGGATTAAATTCTTGAAAAAAGAATACAGTGTTTTAAGTGCTCGAAGTATGGGCATTTTCAAACAAAATGTCAAGAATCACATAACTAGACATAAGCATTGGGAGTGCAAAGCAACTTTCAAGTGCATTAACTGTCAAGAAGCAGATGATAAATGCAAGCTGAATCTTAGCGTTAATCATTCCAGTCTAAATAAAAATTGTCATTGTCATAAGCGACAAATGGATCTCTTAATTAGTCGCACGAATTATGGCTAGTACAAGTCGGAGAATTTAAAAATTGTTCAAATAAATTTACATCACGCTAAAGCTGCAACAAATCAGTTAAACGTTAAAGCTATTGAAAGAGACTATAAAATAACCCTGCTACAAGAACCTTATGTCGTGTATAACAAAGTTCAGGGAATCCCGATGAAATTTCGGATTTTCATTGATGATAAAAATTATCTTCAAGCAGCAATTGTTCTGTTAGACAAAACTCCAGCAATGCTTTTGTATGACTCTTCGAATATTTTGGTAATTAAAATGATGATTAATAATTGAAACACCGTTCTTATCTCGGTGTACTATTGTCCTCCAAGTGACGACTTGAACGATTATTTGCATGGCAGCAATAGCATTCTTGACTTGAATGAGGACTCTAAAATAATTATCTGTGGAGATTTTAATGCCAAGAATCCCTACGGAAACCTTATGAGTACTCGTCAGATCCCAGACGCAAGGCCATTATTGAATTTTGTTCGATGAATAACTTGAATGTACTTAATAGTCCTGATAGCCCGGCTACAGTTTCCGATGTCAGAGGAGAAAGTTGGACAGATCTGACCATTGTCAAATCTTCATTTGTTCTGAACTGGTTTGTTTCCCCTGATATAATATGTAGTAATCATCGCTATTCAGCGTTCCAAATTTTTGAGATGGAGAGCGGGGTACATCTGCAAGCTTTAACGGATGATTTCCTTCTAGTAACTTCGGGAAGATAGAATATCGAGAAAATTACACAAAATGCGCTAAATAGGTTCTTTGAGTGGGCACAAAGACATAAACTTACGATCTCATCAGAAAAAACTACCATGCTATTTATAGGGCGAAAAAGAGTAATGAAAAGAAATCCTACATTTAGACTCAACGGTAGCTCAGTAAAATGCTCTCCAAACATAAAATACCTAGGATTTATCCTCAACAATAATCTCTCTTGAATTCCCCACTTAAAAGAACTCAGTAAAAGATGTATCTCACTCACAAGCACAATTCTACGCACAACAGGACTGCAGTGGGGAGTACCACCATGGGTGCTCAAGAGGTGGTACCAAGCAATTTAAGAAAAAATTGCTATCTACGGCGCAGCGATCTGGGGAAATGCACTCAACGTAAGCACGCGTAGATTACTCCTGTCGATGCAAAGGCTATAGAACTACTTCAACGGCAGCTCTTCAGGTTCTGGTAGGAATTCCTCCGCAAGACCTGCAAGCGGAAAGGGAGTCGTTAATTGAATTGAAAGAGTGTTAAGGCTAGATGAGGACGGAGTTCTGTGAGAACAACACCACTGAAGACTTTGAAAAACGTAAGCCAGTGACGCAAGGACATCCGGTTGAAACACATCTAAAAAAGTGTATTCTAGGCCACTATGTGACACCAAAAGATAATCACACAGCTATATTTAAAGATGGCTCAAAAACCGAGACGGGTACTGGCAGTGCCTTCTGCGTTTTAAAAGGTGATACAGTTGCGTATAAATGGAAAAGAAGATTTGGCAGTAGGAACTCAGTATACCAAGCTGAGCTGACAGCACTGAAAGCAGTCATTAATTATGTGAAGATGAACAGACTTACTCTATCAGGTTCAATGTTTCTTCTACCTTCTTCGGAAACATACAATGACCTGACTAGAACGAAGAGCTTACTAAAGCTATGTTCACTAATTGTAGTAAGTAGACAGGATACAGACGAAGGGTATACAAAACCTTTATTTTTTCTTTAATACAATGACTTCCGTACTTCGGAATACAATGACCCTCCACTCGGGGTCTAACTTAAAAGATATCAAAATAAAACTAAACTCTAATTTAACTTTAGAATAAGATTGGCCTTATAATAACAGGAAGCGTATGTAGCACAGAGACTGTGAACACTACAATACGGTTTAATTTATCAAGAGGATTAAAACCTCTGGCCTGGAAGGCAAAGTAGCAACTGCGTAACTTCTAAGGTAAGCGGCCTGCTTCGAACTCACGGCTTCCTCTCTTCTGCTTGGCAAAAAAGGCCACACTTAAATACTTGGCGTTCGCCAGACAACTTTGCATAAAATCCTTCACGCTTATAATTCTGGCCGGAAGTAGAAAATAAGAAGTGATAGTAAAGATTTAAAATAAAATAAACGTTAGTAAAATTAAGATCCTTAACTCCATTACTTTTACAGTGATTCTGCCTCTAGTCTTGATGCAATCAAGGTTACCAAAGCAAAGCCAGTGTCCAAGAACTTAGAAAATCCTCCTCAGTCTTCTGCCATCAGAGAGGCCATGCCTCAGTGGGTTCCAGCTCACGTGGGCATAAAAGGCAATGAGGAAGCGGACACCCTGGCAAAAGAAGCGGCAAAGGAGGTCTCAAGAACAGAACTGCCAGATAAATTACCTAGATCTCATCTCAAAAAGATCACTCTAAAACAACTGATAGACAGATGGCAGGCCAGATGGGACACAGCAGATACAGGAGAACATATATGTTCTTCCCAAAAACAATGCTTGAGTTAAATTGCAATAGTGGTAGTCAGACGCTGTTTTATACAGGTCATGACCCATTCCTAACCTATCTGCATAGATTCAGCCTGAGTGACACAGAAAGATGTCAATGTGAAGAGGTGGGGGATCCACTACGTCTTCCACTGCACAAACACGGCACAATACCATATAAGAAAGCCAAGTCAAGTTTACTGGCCGCAATGGGCTGCAAATATAAGAACAAACAAAACAGCAAAAAAAAAGCTACGAGCGGTAATCAGCCATTGTCAGAGAAAGTATTCTCAAATACGACGATAAATGTCCCCAAACAGAAATAATCAAGTGGTTAGCGCTCTGAATCATAAAATGTACAAGTCACACTAAATCAATCTGTTAAGTATGCGGGGCACACGCCTCGGACCTCTCAACACAATACTAACTTAGATAATTAGGACTATGGCAACAACCTGCCTATATTCTTTAAAAATGTTACTTTTGCAATTAATGCACAGGTATAGGACTCGCAAGACCAGATTGAGCCAGTAAAATCTTCAACAGCAATGAGTGTTTCCTACACTTACTAATCGCGTATTTAAATTACAAGTTTGTGATAAGTAGCTTCAAGAAGGGCAAGGTCAACTTATGTTATCACCTCAAATTAAGTTTGTGAATGATATTATTATTGTTATGGCATTTTTGCCATCTTAATTTTAACAAATATTCAACTTTTTATGTAAATTTTAGGGAAGAGATATCTGTATTTCTGGGATCAACTGTATGTTTGAATCTCTCGCTAGTGATCAGCATTAAATGCTTAATTATGTTTTTTATAAATTATGTGCATGTTCTAATGTGATAAAAGTAACTGCGGAATTAATGTAAGGTTTTTCTTTGTAATTATGTATTAGCATTATGTTTCAGCAAGTGTTTGGAATCAGATATCAGTTTTACTGAGTACTGTACTTTTCTGTTTATGTTCACTTTAACGTACTCAAGTCTGTATTTATTACTTCTCTGCGTGTACTATGAAGGTCAGTTCGTACTTGGCTAGGATTTAGACTATATAGCATTACTTAATGATCAGTTTATGTATTATGTTCATCAGTTTTAGTTTTAGGTTTCATGTATTACGTATGCATTTTTAAGTGTTCTGTATGCAGGTATTAGGGATTAGCTTTCTGTATTTCTGTACGCAGTATCATGTTAGTTTTTCACTTTAATATTCAGTTTTTGTACTTATGTATGTATTATCCTGTCTGCAAGTACCACGAAAGAAAATGTAG